GGTCCCACCAAGAAAACAAAATCAGAAATTGCTTCATGATATTTTCCACAGAGCATTTTTTTTGTAAAAAAAAAGAAAAAAGTGTTGTAGAGTAGTTTTCACAGTGGAGGCTTGTATTTCACTGAGTCGGTCCTAAAAACGGTTCGACGTACAAAACGTTAGGAACTTGTTATATTAGTTAATGACGCAGCAATCTAGTTGTGGTGGTTGATACTTTAATGTCCGACATCGACTGACTCACAAACTCCACCGAGCCCCCTGGCGACTGCTACTACTACTAATTATCTGTGAGAGAGTCTATTAACAATAGAATAGGTATAGGTATATATTTTACACAGGTAAAGCTGTTCGTAATATGTGAGCTGTACTTGTAAGTACAATCTTTTGTATTTCTTTAAGGCGTGGGCTACCAGGAATCCCTTCAATGAGTCTATAGGAACATTTTCTAGTCAATTCGAGGGCTCCAACTACAACTGGAATTATTGATGCACTCATGTGCTGCATTTTTGAGATATCCAATTTAAGATTCTTGTATTTTGATAGTTTTTTTTAAAGATCTTCAAAGATAAGTTGCAGTCTGCAGTGACTGCCATGTCAATAAAAAAGCAAATTCTGCTTTTGTGGTCTTTGATCACGATGCCTGAACAATTAGCTTTGATTGTTCCGTCTCTGTGTATTGTGCAGATAGAACAACATTTCTTTCGTCGGTCCCAACCAGAGACATAAGCTCAGAAATAGCGTCATGACATTTTCCACTGAGCAGTTTTGAAAAAAAAAAATCATGAGATGTGGTCAGTACTTGTGAGACGTGGTCAGTACTTGTGAGAACAATTTTTTGTATTTCTTTAAGGTATGGCCTATCAGGGATTCCTTCAATAAGTCTACTGGAATCTTTTCCAATTAATCCGAGGGTCCCAACTACAACAGGAATTATTGATGTGCTCATGTACCACATTTCTGAGATACCGATTTCAAGGTCCTTGTATTTTGATATTTCTTGAAGATCTTCGAAGATACATGACAATCTGCAGGGACTGCCATATCAATAAGAAAGCACATTCTGTTTTTGTGGTCTTTAATCACGATGTCTGGGCGATTAGCTTTCATTGTTCTGTCTGTGTGTATTGTAAAGAATCCATAAAATTGTTACAAGTCCTATCTCGGTAACGGGGTCTGGATGGTGTTCATACTTCAGTTTCCTTTCCGTAAAAGTTGGAGGATTATTATTATTATTGTCATATATGCATGAAAAGTGTCACTGCTGACACTGGAGATTGAACGTGAATCTCTAGACAATGAAAATGTAGACCGTCATTTAATATAAATAGATATATCATGCCACTGACTGGGTGACTACAATTACCTGTTTGACTATTGCATTAACCCGGACGTTAAAGTCGAGTGGCCCGTGTTTCAAGACGAATTAGTACTTTTCTTAGCAGCTCTACACAGTCGTGTATTAACTGATAAATAATCAATAATCTTTCCGGAGACTCTTTACTTAATATTAATGTATCTTAATTACATTTGCTAATTAAATACTTTATTATTTTACATGTACGTGTGTCGGATTGCAGAATTATTATTATTATTATTATTATTATTTCCACTATTATTATTATTATTATTATTATTATTATTATTTCCATTATTATTATTATTATTATTATTATTATATTTTTATTTTCTTTGATTTCTGGCGTTTACACATTTCTTTCCGGGTCCCGCCCAGGGACCTAAGGTTAGAAATGGCGTCATGACACTTTCCACTGACAAAAAAAAAAAAAAATTACATAGATAAAGCCCTTCGTAAGGTGTGGGCTGTACTTGTCAGAACAATTTTCTGTATCTCCTTGAGGCATGGACTTCCAGGTATCCATTCAATTAGTCTACTGGAATCTTTTCCAACCAGTCCTAGGGCTCCAACTACAACAGGGATTGTTGATGTTCCCATATGCTACATTTTCGAGATTTCTATTTCAAGGTCCTTGTACTTTGACAACTTTTTGAATATCTTCAAAGATACATTGCAGTCGGCAGGGACTGCCATATCAATAAGGAGGCACCGTTTTTGTTTATGGTCTTTAATAACAATATCTGGGCGGTTGGCCTTGATTGTTCTGTCAGTGTGTATTGTGTAGTCCCATAGAATTGTAACAGGTCCTATCTCCGTAACCGGGTCTGGATGGTGTTCATACCAGTTTCTTTCAGTTTCCTTCCCGTAGAAGTTGCAGATTTTCCAGTGCAGATATTGGCCCACTCTGTCATGCCGAGTTTTATATTCAGTGGGTGCCAACACCGTACAACCTGCTACAAGATGATCAATCGTTTCTGGATATTTATCACAGAATCTGCATTTTGGACTGACACAATATTTTAGTATATGTGCTTATTATTATTATTATTATTATTATTATTATTTCCACTATTATTATTATTTCCATTATTATTATTATTATTATTATTTCCACTATTATCATTTCCACTATTATCATTATTTCCATTATTATTATTATTATTATTTCCATTATTATTATTATTATTTCCACTATTGTTATTATTATTATTATGATTATTATTTCAATTATTACTATTATTATTTTCATTATTATTTTCATTATTATTATTTTGATTTCCATTATTATTATTATTATTATTATTTCCATTATTATTATTATTAATAATAATAATGATAACAATTTCTTTTTGGCTTGCAATCAATCATATGCGCGGTCACAAGATATAGTCTTGGGCAAGCGAAGGATGCAATTATTTTGTTGTGTACATTTGCGGGTTTACGGCCTCGTCACGTTGAAACAGCGGTTTCCGTACGATCAACGAAGTTAAGCAACATCGAGCCTGGGCGCTAACTAGGTGGCTGACAGTTTGGAAATACGAGGTACTGTAAGCCTGGACGTGCAGGCGATGTAATGGATAACGGCTCGGAATTTTTAATCGGAGAGCCGAGTTCCAGTTCCCGTTGGGTTCATTATGTTCACTCAGGTAATCAAATGCCGTTGGGGAAGATACAAATCTACCTCTTCGCTCCCCAATTATGGGTTAATTAGTAAGACACGTATCACTAAACCATTGTTATTCCTCCTAAAATTCTTACAATCAAAAAAAAATTCTGGCTTTAAATAGGGTTGATAAAAGGGTTGATAAGCCATAAAAAACGAATCAATCAATCAACGAAATACTGATTTGCCACACATGCATGTTTTTTAAATTTATTTATATTCTCTGGAATATAAATGTATAGAAACTACAGTGGCCACAACGTGAGGGATCAGTTTATGTATTGATTGTAATACAGAATTGATCCCCCACTTTATATCCACATTATAATTTCTGGCTTTAAATAAGCAGTAAGGGGTTGATAAGCCGTAGAAAACGAATCAATCTATCAATGAAATACTGATTAGCTACACAGGCATGTCTTTTAGATTTATTTACATTCTCTGGAATAGAAATGTATAGAAACTACCGTGGTCACAAAGTGAGGGATCAGTTTATATATTGATTGTAATGTAGAATTGATCCCCAACTTTATATCCATATCATAATTTCTGGCTTTAAATAACCTGAAAAAGGTTGATAAGCCGCAGAAAACGTATCAATCAATGAATGAAATACTGTTTAGCAACACAGGCATATCTTTTAAATTTTACATTCTCTGGAATATAAATATATAAAAAGTACTGTCGCCACAAAGTAAGGGATCAGTTTATATATGGATAGTAATGTAGATTTTATCCCCCACTTTATATCCATATTACAATTTCTTGTTCGTTTATCAAATTCTGATATAAATAAATTCACCTTTTCTTCCCACAGCTATGGGTTAATTAGTAAGACTTGTATCACTAAACCATTATTATATAGAAAAAAGAAATACTTACAATCTAAAAATATTTGCTGGCTTTAAATAACCCGAAAAGGGTTAGTAATACGTAAAAAAACAAATCAATCAATCAAAAATCAGCAATCTATAAATCAATAGCCCTTTTTCTCTTTATCTTATAGGAACCTGTATCTATTAAAATTATGAATAAAGTATCTATAAATTTATAAACCTATCTTTTGATATCTTTATAAATAGGTATTTCTGGTAGTCTGCCTATATAGATAAACCTCTCATCAACGGACTAATGTGGGGGAGGGTGGGTCGTTAAAGCAGATTGTCTGTAGATGGAAAGGGATTATTTTTTAGTCATAAAATCACTATAGTAATTACTAGTAGTTATGATCATAATGTAAATACTATAAAAATGTAGATATGGTATAAATAAATATATAATTAATATAGGTATATTAATCAAAATAACAAAATAGTATATTTCTCACAGCTACTTTCTCATGCAAACACTAATGTATCGTACTTTATATACTGTACACCGGTCTTTGTTTACAATTGAAAAGCTAGCCACCGCCGCCAAGCGGTCACTTTGAGAACTAATACGACTTGTTCCACTAAACCCGCAAGCTTTGAAATACATCGCTGACGATTTGAAAGTTTGTTTTTTTTTGTTTTTTTCCTGCAGATTTATTTTTATTTTGCTTGCAGATTTTGTCCGTTGCATCCAAAGTCCTTTGATTTTAGAGTTCTTGATCAGTATCTTGGGATAATAAAAGTTGGACCATTTGAATGTTGTAGGAAAACATTTTTAAATCCAGTTTCAGAATTCTTCTGATCGGTTGTTCTGGGGTTGCCTAGTTGAGCAGAACGAAAACGGGTAGAAGCTGATGGATCCTCAAGAACACACTGTCGTACAATGCGCTTACGTCCTCTTCCTGGAAGATCACCGACTGATCCAGTTCTTTCAAACCGGGCGATTAGGTTCCGAATCACGTTAGCGCTAGGAGATTAAAATGTTGCCAGTATTTTTTCTGAGTTTGAATAATTGATTGTCCACTGGAATAGAAAAACTCAATGAGTTTTACTCATTACTGGATTTCATACGTTGCCATTTTAATCAGTTTGTTCATATCTCTTTCAGTCTGTTCTATCTATCTATCTATCTATCTATCTATCTATCTATCTATCTATCAGTTTGTTCATATCTATTTCAGTCTGTTCTTCTATCTATCTATTTCAGCCTTTTCATTTTTTTCATATCTGTCTATCTATCTCAGTCTGTGCATTTATCTATCGCAGTATATATATATATATATATATATATATATATTTCGATTATAGGTGCAGTTAAATTTATAATTACATGAATCATTCATACAAAAAACAAATATAGAGGTTAATGATTTAAATGGCGAGAATACATCTTCGTAAACAATTTCAATAAGTTACACTAACCCCGAACCTGTATATGAATGATATGATCCCTGTTTATAAATTCCAGTTGCATAAGGTATTTTTTAGTTTTTACAAGCTTTCGTCTGTTCCTACAGACATCCTGGAATTTATAAACAGGCATCATATCATTCATATACTGGTGTTGACTTCAATGTTCACTTTTATATATATATATATATATATATATATATATATATATATATATATATATATATATATATATATATATATATATCTGTATGTGTGTGTAATATATTTTATGCTTATACGTTATTTTAATAGATATAATTTATTCAAGTAAATGCTCTGTTTTTTTTTCTCTAAATAAACAGTATTAATTACATTTACCGGCCTGATTTTTTGAGAAATTCCGTAGAAAATATGTGCCTCTTCGACAGGTATCGAACCTGTAACCCTAATAGGAACCATCATTTGATCCGATGTGTAGGTTACAAGTTCGATTCCGGTCGGAGAAGCACAGAACAAACAGGATACGTTAATCAATCTAACATGTTTCCCTTTTAATAAAGCTTCATCAGTGAATGTTATTTGGAGAAAAAGAAATTCAGGTATTTTTATTTTTGTGTTGTTTGATTTTCATTGGTTAAGGAGGTTTCACGTGCATTCGACTTGTTAAACAAACGTTAGTATAATTTGTGGCGTTCCATATTCAAGGAGAGACGACGCGTTCCTTCGAAGTTCCAAGAAATTAACGGATTCCAAGCCAAACTGTAAATATTGCTTTAAGTATGTAAGTGTATGATAATTCTAGTTTGTCTATTTGGGATTCAGATGATAATGTGTATACGGAAGTGCGTGTATACTGGTTTTCTAAGCGTAGCCTAAATATAGCACAAGGCCTAAAGTATGGGGCACCCAGTGAGGATCAAACTCACTATTTCAGCGAGACAAGCTTGTTAACTATTACACCACGCCGGGGTAGCCATGTGTGTGTTTGTATATATCTAGTAGATATTATGTTTCATGGTTTTCGCATGTTGATTTTGGAACACTCTTACGTAAACATCGTTTGTGTTACATAAACCCACATTAGATTCTTTAAAAATGGATTCAATAAAGGTTGGTGATATCATTTATTGCTTTTTACATCTGCTTATATCTGTTAAAATATTAGTAATCCCTCGAATTCTGATCCATATTTTATCTGTATTTGATCCCGACTTATATATAGGCACGGTGGAGTAGTGGATAGCGGCTCGGATTGAGGAATCAGAGAGCCGAGTTCGAATTCCAGTCGAATACATTACATTCACTAATACCCTTGGGAAAGGTATGAATCCTCTTCTTCTCCCCCAGCTATGGGTAAATAACAGACCGGGTTCCATAGCCTTGGATAGCAACTGGTCTATCGCAGAAAGAAATGGCAACCTACTGCGGGAAAAAAGATTTATGGTTAGCGGCTCGGATTGAGGACTCGGAGAGCCGAGTTCGAATACATTACATTACGTGCTTATTCTTCTTTTTCTGGGTAAATAGAATGGGTTCTATAGCCTTGGGTGGCAACTGGTCTAGGAGAAGGACAACTCTGAATTCAAAACCTGGGAAAGGTAGTGCACCAAGTCTCTGTACTTTGGCCCTGGTCCTGCACAAAGCCTTCACCACTATAATCAAATCTCATGTGCTGGGCTGGCGGTTGCTTGACCCTTATACGTCGAATATGACGGGAGAGTCCACTATATATATATATATATATATATCCGTATTGTTTCCCAAACCCGGCCTATGCTTCGTCCTGGGTGCAAGGATGTTCTCCCTCCCCATCAAGTTAATTCTCTTGTTTATAAATATAATTGTAGTTGTGGCGCTGACTACATAAGGAGAACGACTGAACGCCTGGACATGAGAATTAAACAACATGTTCCCACTAAGATCAAGAATCACACCTTATCTTTGGATGGACGTGTCCCAAATACTTATGGTTCCGCCATATGTGAGCACCTCTTAAATAACAGAGGGTGTGCTGATAATTTTAGGGCTGACTGGTTCACTGTTGTGTCCCGGTCACACTCTCTATTTCAATTCATATATATATTGGATTGATGTGAGTTTGTGACCCTGGGTTTCACGCTTTTGCGATCGTCAGACAAACTGATTCATTTTTTAAAAATTTTGGATTTATTTAGATTGCGTGTATTGGTGTTATTATGGGAGTGGGGGGGGGAATCGTCGTTGTGTTGTCACTCATGCTAACGCAAACATAGATGCATGTCCGTACATCAGATGAGGTACGCAGACACACATACACACTCGCTCGTCCACCGGGTCTCATACAAACATAAACATATGTGGACAGTATGGGATTTGACGTATCTATGTATATGTGTGCTGTTGTCTATATATATACGCATTTGTATGTTGAAATTCAAAGATTGGAAGTGTAGCGAAAATTTCTCGTGAATGTCCCGTGAATGTATACATGTCAGTAATCAGAGCATTTTTCTATTTTTTCGCTGAATAATATTTCCTCGCATGCACGTATATACGTCTGGTGGGGTCTGTAAAATTATGATAGGTAAAAATTGCTACTATTTTTAATTTTTTTAAATATGTATATGCGTATATGTAACTGGTAGAAATTGCAGTTTGCAATCCTTATTAGTTTTTATATGGTGGTATTAAATATGCTGGGGACGGGGGGTAGTTTACGTTAGTGATTATAACGGGTTTAATACTAGATGTGATGTGGTAGTAATAGTGTTGGGGGATTGGTGGTAATGATAATATTAGTAGCTAATAGTTATTGTAAATTGAGTAAGAAGTGTTTAGTAATGGTGGTGGGAGAATAATAATAATATATATATATATATATATATATATATATATATATATATATATATATATATATATATATATGTATGTATAATGTAGTTTCCTCTGGTATGCATACCGTTGCGTGATCAGTTGGACGATGGAACCAGTATTAACATCACCGATGACGCCCCAAAAGAACATCGTTGCTATATATATATATATATATATATATATATATATATATATGACTATTACGGCTAATAATGCACGACTCTTCGGTAAATCGAATCGAGTTCTCTCAGTGACTGTGTGTTTATCTAAAAATAAATTCGTTTAAATTCACCTTTATCCTTGCCGTGCGCCAACGGCTTAGCGGTATAATCCCACGGCTATTACCATTTCAGTCGGGTTTCGATTCTAGCTAGAGGCAACCGGACGTCTCGCCGCAGTGATGAGCTGTGAAACTGAAAATGGTTTTTAAAATTCCTTTTAAAACCATTTATTTTCCATTCAACATCATCATTTGTTCAGATACCGGAGGTGTTGAAACAAAATGGCTATTTTTGTATTGATTTTATAACATATTTATGTTATAATTTTTTAAATAAATAATTATATATATATATATATATATATATATATATATATGAGATCCAATATAAACCTTTCCAAAACAGAAACTATGATCGGGAAATGGAATGAAAGCTGTGATGGCACCTACCCTGAATCCACCATAAAGATTTAGGATTTGGACTGAGTAAATACTAAACACTTGCAATACGTCTGTGTATGGATTAGTTATAACAAATTTAGCATAGGAAAAAAAGTAACTAAACTTAGAATAGTCTGCGATAAAATGGAAACAAAAAGGACATGTATACTTAGAGTCAGGAAGAAACGGTTGAAACTTCTCTGACATTATGAGGAAAGAAGGTTTAGAGAATTTGATATTCACAGAACAGTGAAAATCAGAGAGTCAGAATAACCTACCTAAAGAGCTTGTGCAAGTGGACGCCAAGACAGGGAATGGGATATTAAAAAAGTAAACATTGCTATGAGCTACAGAGGATAGGATGTTGTGGAGAACCATGATCGTCTACATTCTGACGGGTCACAACATATAAAAGAAGGTCAACTTTTACTAAATCCATTTTGGTTAATTTTCAATAAGGCATCAACAAGTAAGTGAATTATATTTAGGAGTATCTCTCCCTCACACACACATACACATATATATACACATATATATATAAATAGTCGAGAAAAAATCCAACACTCGCGGCCTGACGATTACGTCTATCATGAAACAGCCTGTCGCTTCTGTGTTGACTTCAATGTACGCTTTTATATGTGGTGAAGACTTGTTCAATATATATATATATATATATATATATATATATATATGGTGGAGGGTTCTCCCGTCGTTTTCGACGTATGAGGGCTCAGCAGCTCAGTTCTTAGAACCGAACAGCCGGACTAAAGCGCACATATGATTTGATTATAGTGGTGAAGACTTGTTCAGAACCGACCCCAGACGTTTTTGCAAAAAGCCGAATACAAAAGCTTCGAACAAATAAATGTATGTCTTAACGAGAATCATCCTTCTTCGAACCTCGTGGGTTGGCGCTACGGAATCACTAACAAAGGACAGAAACTGATGATGAGTTGGAATAAAAATTATACTGAACACACAACCAACATCCACTACCAAGTGTTGCAAGGAATAGGATTCGATAAACGTTTCCAAACAGAAACTATGATATGGAATTGGAATGAAAGTAACGATGTCACTTACCCTGAATCCACCATAAAGATTTAGAATTTAGAATGAGTAAATACTAAACACTTGAAATACATCTTTGTAGGGATCAGTTATAATAAATTTAGTATAGGAGAAAAAGATATTGAACAGAGAATTAGGCTGCGCTAAATTAAGTTTCTCCCAACACCGCAAGTTGCTACAAAACCGAAACATTAACCTAAAAAGAGAGTCATGTTCTTAGTTTTGTCAGATTGAGACTTTAATGTGGATTTCATTTATAGCACCAAACATATTCAGAAATATCTAAACTGTCAGTTGTATCCAATTGTTTTCTAAGATCAATGGTTAAAAATGGTTTTGAGCGAATGAAGCCTGTAGGTCTTAGTGAGGACCAGCCTTCTTCGAACGTAATGAACTGGCGCTACATAATCGCAAATAAAAATCTGTACAAAATAACAGAAACCACATCGCTTGAAGACTTTCAGCAACTGAAACATCTAAAATAGATATCACATGTAATTTGAAGAAAAAAATCATGACACGATCAAAATGTTGACATATCACAAGGCTTCAACCAAGTGTTAGGAAGAAAACCCTAATCAATTTTATGAAAAGGAATTTCTTGCTAAGATAAAAATTATTTTCCTTTTAGTTCGAGCAAAATAAATGTAGATCTTAGAGAGGATCGTCTTTCTTCGAACTTCAAAAACAAACAACGCGCATGCGCATCGCACCCTGTACACAATTACATACTTCAAAATACAAAAATATGTCTATAATTCAAAAGAAAATCTGATAGATAATTTTTAAATATACTACAAATGTACATACAAATATCATGACATATATATATATATATATATATATATATATATATATATATATATATATATATATATATATATAATGGATTAAATCCGACAAATATTTTAGTTCATACAACTTATTTGGGTAAATGCCTTGTTAGAATTAAACAGAATTAATTACATTTACCGGCCTGAATGTTCGAGAAATTTCGTAGAAAATATGCGTTCTCCGTCAGGAATCCAACCAGCATCCCTTATGGAAACCGTCATTTGATTCTGACGTGCTGTTAACCATTCAGCCACAGAGAGCTTCCCGGTTAGCCAAGTCGAAATTACTGTTTATAATTCGACGATCTTTCTCTATGATTCGTTCCCGCTCCGAAAAGTAACCTAACGTAAACAATGACAACATATTAGATGAAATGGATTCAATCCGACAAATATTTAATATATTTTCTGTTTATACGATTCAACTTATTTGAGTAAATGCCGTGTTTTAATTAAGAAGTATTAATTACATTTAACAGCAGAAATATTCGAGAAATGTAATTAATACTGTTCAATTAAAACAGAGCATTTACTCAAATCAGATGTTTCCAAAAAATATAAAATAAAAAAATAACATATGAAGAGAAAATATATTAAAATATTTAAGATTTAAGAAACAGCAGATATTTTTACATTACATATTATTTGTAGCAGATATTTTAAAAATATTAAAGTAATATTAAAAATATTTTAAAAATATTAAAATAATAAAAAATAATATTAAAATTAATTATTCAATTAATTTAATTAATAAATTAATTAATAAAATTTCAAATATTACAATTTAATTAATAAGATAGCATAACATAATAACTTCTATATAAAGCATAAAAAAATAAACTAATTTCGAAAAATTTACAACTGGACAAAAATCTACAGCTGAAAAAATGTAAGACGTAAAAAACAGGAGCAAAATATCAAACGGAGTAAAAAAAAGCGGATTGGAGAGGCGCGGAATAAAGTGAAAAAAAATTGTAAAAACTGGAAATACCGTTTAAAACCACAACCCCTGAAGACTGG